TTTACAGTAGTGACACACTCAGGGACATCAACAGAAAGGTTGTGCTTGTTTATGATCAGTCATTATGAGTTAAGCCTCTCAGGTTGGCCCACATCTCACTAGCAACAGAGATTTAAAAACAGAGCAGCTTTACTTAGATGGTGTCAGTGAGCTACAGCCATTGATATGGCGAAAACACACACACACACACACACACACACACACACACACACATAAAGCTGGTTATGTGGCAGTGGCTCTCTTTGTACAGTAGTATATTTAGAGGTGACAATATGCATAAATCTATGTGCATTGTATGCTATGCATGTTTATTATATTACACACATGCAGGACAATGGTATGTGTTCAGGTTACATTCAACTGCCATATATATACACACACACACACACACACTTTTTTTTTTTCCTTTCAGCTTGTACTTGTACACATATAGGTTTAAAACACTTCATTTTCAGTTAAAGTCAGTTCATCATTGATTCATTGATAGTCTTGTGTGTGTGTGTGTGTGTGTGTGTGTGCAGACGATGCCTCTGATTCCATTGAGCCGATTGGCCCCCAGACTGAGACGCAGTGTTGAAGGACTAAATCTGGAGCTGGAGGGAGTCTTTGTGTCTGAAACAGCAAAAGAACAGCACAAAGTCAGTGTGTATTTGTTTGTATGTGTGTTTCTGATCTACTGTTTTAGTTTCAGAACCATCTGAATTTTCTTATTTTTTTTGGTGTGTGTTTAGATTCTTGAGGTACCAGATGGTCACAGAGCCCCTGTCCCAGCTCAGAGGTACAGCAGCGCTTCACAGAGCGACCCTTCTCCTGCCCAGCTGTCTCCCTCACACTCTCCCTGCACCATCACAGACACCGGTCAGTATATGTATAAATATAGAAACAGACTTTATAAAGTCTATATTTCATGTCCCATGTCAAATTGAGACAAGATGGCCAAAGATGGATGTGCTCCGTAACAATTGAAAAAATAGCACAAACTGAACTTGCTCTTAGGGACGTCATTCATATTTTATCAACACATGACAGGAAGTTCTGTGTGAAACTGTTAATTGCTAATATGTATTTGGCTGATGACTATCTTTATCTGTGTGTGTGTGTTGTGTATAGATATGGTTGTGTGTGGGCCGCTCTGTCCGCCTTCCTCCCCTCCTCTATGTATTTCTGAGCCACCATCTTCTTCTCCTCGTCCCAACAAGACGTACGTCTTTCAGAGAGAACCTCCAGAGGGCTGTGAGAGAGTACGTGTGTCTGAGGAGGCCATGTAAGTTTAGCACAAACACAAACCGCTGTATGTGTTAGATAGGAAATAAACATAAAACAGTGACTCTTTAGTTTAGAGACCAATTCTCTCTACTAACTAACTGCTTATTAGCATGCATATTACTAGCTTATTGGCTATTTATTAGTACTTATAAAGCACATATTAATGCCTTGTTCTGCATAACCATATTTTAGATCCCTTGATCCTAACCCATACCTAAATGTAACAACTACCTTACTAACTATTAATAAGCAGCAAATTAGGAGTTGATTGAGGCAAAAGTAATAGTTAATAGTGAGAATTGGTCCCCAAACTAAAGTGTGACCTATAAAACATATTAAATAAGGGATGTCAATATAACACATTAATATAGTGTTATTAATGGTGTTAAGAAAATAATACAAGTCTATTCTGTATTCTTAAAATGACCATACATTTACATTATCTTGATCTTGGGCCTTTTTTTATGCAAATATTCTTAATCTGAATATTAAGTTTTCAATGCATCTAATTAATCAGCAATTAGTGCAGTTAATTAAATTAAATTAATTATTTGATCAATCAATCGCTACTCTCTGTCTTGTAAATGGCCTTCTGCCTTTTTCAAAAAATAAAATAAGTAAATAAATAAAATAATATTTTTCTTTTCATTGTCTGTATTCTCTAGGTTGTATATCAGTGTAGTATAAGCTGTTTTCACTGTGTTTAGCAGTGGTTAGTACAAGCCGTGGGTGAAATGGGAGAGTTGTCAGACTTCCAAAAATGGCCAATCAAGGAAGCCTGTTTAGCATCTGTAACCTTAAAGGTCCCCTGAAATGCTTAGAAACACGCAGCGTTACTCTGTGTTGACGTCATTTTAACTGAAGCAGGAAGACAGGGCGGGACATATCAAGCAGCCCCGCCCCTTTTTAAAATAGCCAATAGCGTTCGTTTATATCACAGCTTGGGCTAGAGCCGTTCAGAGCCGTTGAGCTTCGTAAAGCCACGTTTGACAGGGTATGCCAGCTACAATCTCATCCATATTGCTATAAAATATAGCATTCTGTGTAGAATTCAAATAGCTCCGATACATTTTGTGGTCTGCGCCGACTCGCGCATGTGATCTGTTCCCTGCTATCGTGTCTCTGGACCGGAGCAGAGAGTGTGTGCGGTGCGGTGGTTCGTTTGGAGTTTTAAGAAGAACAGTCTTTATGATTATGACTGCGTACACAAAGCATGGCAAGAATTCATCAGCAAAGAAGAAAAGTATTCAAAAACTGAAAGTGAATGATAGAGACCGTCAAACAATAAGAAGGCCATTTTCATGATAATTAAGCACATTTAGCACCAGATGTCATAAAAAATCATTGTTTACAGTATGCATATATATATATATATATATATATATACACACATGAAGTACTTATATATAATATGCAATCAATCTTCTATTTTCAGCCTTGCCTGTCATAGGAATGCTCCTCTTCAGCCTTCCTGTCCTGACCCTAACAAGGTGAACTTCACACCTCACGGTGGCTCCGCCTTCTGTCCTGTCAGTCTCCTCAAGCCCCTCCTGCCTTCTATGGACCTGTTATTTCGTGGCCTCTCTGTTTCACCCGTCACTGGCTGTTCGGCTCAGAGTGCTGCCTCCTGCCAGACACCGGGACATGCTGTGGGTGGTTATTTGAGCGGCACCCTCCCAGACCCTACCACCACCTCTCTGTGAATGGAGCACATTCATGACGAGAAAAGAAAAACTAAAGCTGGTTGTGCCTTTGTCCCATCTCATCAGCAACTTTGACATCAAAGCGTCTCAAAGAGGAGAAACTGCTCACGCCATCCACTCAGTATCTGATTTGTTTTGATCGGCACAGAGAGGGAAAAAAATCATGATGGAAGAACAAAATGGAGAACTTTTCTTCATCTAAAACTACGGTGGACTCTCTCCGATGTGATTTGTTGGCGAACTTTTGACATCAGGACACTCTACTTGGCACTTGTGATCATTTCGTTTCACATTATAGCATTTACCTATTGCTATATTTTCTATCATTTCTATAAAACAATACTGATGCCTATTCATCATCTGTGTATGAATATATTTTTAGCTCTGTCAGAAGAGTCTTTTGATTTTGTCTATCAGACAGACTATAAAACGTGCATTATAAGCCTGACCCACTCCACTCACAATTTTACAGAGTTGTGGTTCAGAAACCTTACATTTCTAAATTTCTTAATTCAGTATTTACAGACACGGGTCTTTAATGCATGCTGGACTTTTTTTACCAGCACAAAAGAGGCAGTTATAGACCAGAGAGTCTCTCATCAGCCGGTGTTTTTGAAGGCTGGGACTTGTTTTGAATACTCTCAGCATGTGTGTTTAGTAGTTCAAAATATATACATTTAGACATTAAGTACAGCTCTGAACTGTAGGTGTTTAATGAATGCCTCCAAATGTTCAGTGAAGAGCTATTATCCATAATCTTACAAAGCTTGTCAAAAATGTCCCGTCATATTTCACCGCCAATCAAAATATATATTTTTTTTATTGTCATAATTGTAGGACAAGTAACGGACATATTTTGTTACTGTGTTAAAGTTAAAAAATAAATAAATATTTGTATATGTATGTATAAAATAGGTACTAAGATAGACTTGGTTATTTTTCTATTTTATCTTTTGAGTTTGGATTGAAATATGATGGGGATATTTTCTTAATAGATTCTGTGAGATTCACCGATCCAGAGAAACTGTTTTTACAGTTATAATGTAATGAGGAAAAGGCAGAGGCCATTATTACTTGTTTATTCTGAGGTCTTCATGCATTGTGGGCCGCTGACACTTAAATTCGGTGTAAGACAAGAATACCGACGGGACCCCATTAAGGGTTTATTTTGCTACGCACTTGATAAGTGTGCTGTATGTTTTACTGAATTTCACTTCAGACTTGACTACTAATCTTACCCACAGTGGTCATATTGTTCAGTTCATTTGAGCACAGGCTGGTTCTACAGACACATAAGACACAAGCAAGTTTGCTGCATTCAAGTACAATATGTGCATATCATAAAGAACGAGACGTCAAGCAAGTTATTGTTTGCTGTCATTTGAAGCACTGTTATTATCCCATATATTCGCATGGATTGTGTCTCAGTCGTGGCATCGTCCATGCAGTTTTTTAAGTTCTGACTTGTTACCTTGTTCTGTTAGGGTGCCGTTTTATTTACATTGTTTTCAGATTGTTTGTCTTGAGTACAGTTATTGTACACCAATCCTGTTTTGTTTTCTATATTGTACATTTATGTTACTCCGTTTTGGCTGCAATAAATGAGAAGTGCAGAGAAATAAGAGTGTGGTTGTTGTTCTGTATATCAGCTTTATAATTATGCATTCTTGAGCATAAGTCTCACATCTATCTATCTATCTATCTATCTATCTATCTATCTGTCTGTCTATCTGTCTGTCTGTCTGTCTGTCTATATTACACTGTAATATACATTTATACGTGTACATTAAAATGTAACACTTGGAATTGGAATTCTAAATTTCAAATTTACGTGAATGAGGAACTCTATACCCCGCCCTCTTAAAGATCCCAGCCATGTGATTGGCTGCATGTCGTCAGCTTTAGCTTAGTTGGACCAATCCAAGTAATACACATACCGCTACGTAAAAATCCTACCTGCTTATTTTCAAGAAAGGCCCCACAGATTTGTTTACAGGGACTTGAATCTAATACCCAAATAAAATTCAAGCCGCGTACTATCAGTAATGCACAGAAACAGACTGAGGCGAAAACCTGTGCTGGGAGGGAAGTCAACGCGATTCAGCAAATAACGACCTGTTCCTGGCGTAATTCTGTATTTTAATTCTCTCTTCGCTCCTGATAAAGTTACAGGCATATCAGCAGAGTACCTGGAGTTTCTCAGGTCCTTCTCCTCTAGTGTCATTTGACGCGTCAAATGAAAACATTTATTAGAGGCAGCAGTAGTTATCATCATATGTCTATGGTTATCATCAGCTAATACTACATGTCAAAAACAGACCTTTAACTCAGCATCTCGAGCAGAGAATTACTCAAACGTTTGAGGCTTCCTCGCAATATCTGGAAACAGACGCCGCGTTACATGCATGCAATCACTCGCACGTCGTTTTCAGGATGCGGCTGTTTGGACACAGCTAGCGCGCGGTTCATTACGTTAACGTTACTGATCTGTAAATTGCATAAAACAAATAAACGCATGGTAATAATAGCGGAAGTGTAAGGAGAGCCTCATCATCAGAGCAGAGAAGAGGGGGGTCTAGAGTCGCGTCATCATTCCCGGGCTACCGATCGCCGGTAGAGTGGATCGGGACGCAGGAGCGCGGGGTACGGGGAGCGGAGCCGTGTCCGTGTCCGTGTCCATACCGAGACTGCTGGACGATAGCATGGCCGCCGGGAAGGCAGCGAGCAAACCGTCTCTCTGGCAGAACGAACGGCTCCGGTTCATCGTGTGTTTCTGCGGAGTGTTCGTGTGTTACTTCTACTATGGGATACTGCAGGAGACAATGTGAGTAGTGAAGTGACATCTGAGTACCAGACAGCATTGCATTTGAAGAGCGTGCATGGCTTTCTAGACCTAGATTCATTTAACGAGATATTGCACTTCTGTATTTTTTTTTCATTAATTTGACTACTACTCAGTTAACCGTTAATTCATTTTAATTACTCCTTAGTTGCTATCATTGCACTAATTTACTCTCTGTACATGTGGTTGCAATTGTAAGTAACGTTGGAGAGAGTGGACACGACTCTTCAGCTATTCATCTTGATAGTTGACACTCTGCATTCTGTTCAGTAAATGAAGACGTGCAGCCTGACAGCTCTAGCATATATTCCTGTAAGCCAGTGGATCTCAAGCTTTTTGACTCCAAGGCCCCTCTTTGTACAGAACAATATTTGCGAAATAAGCCCCTTCTATCTAAGCTGATATGTACCCCTGGTGCTTCTATTGTAATAAAAGATAAATAATTTCACTGTATTGTCAGTGTAATTTGTACAACTTTATTTTAACTAACTTTTAAAAAATCAAGACACATTTGGGCCCCCGAGAAGTTTATGGAGTCAGGAGGTAATCAGTCTGTCTTGTCTTATTTAAATTGGGGCAATCTACCTTTTTTTGTAACTGGATTTAGAAAGTTATGACCAGTTTTGAAGTAAACATATTAGATGACTAATTTTTTTAAACTAGTCTAAGTAGTTTATGCAACTGGCCCCTGATTAAGAACCACTGCTTTAAAATAGGTAGTAGCATAATATAATGTAATATAATATTAGTGTAATTACTAGAAAGTTACCTAGGAGTCTGTATTTCAATTTTGTTAGTAACTCTTTATAGATACTAATTAGAAGTTCCCCAAGTAATTCAACTAGTATGTTCTCCAGTTGTTGCTGAAACCTTTACTGATTTTACTAGTAATTATTCATTAGTTACTAGTGCTTATTCATACTAGGATTTATTCCAGATTTAGGAACTGCTATTCGAACTTCCGTGTCGATCCCAGTTGTTAGCTACTAGTAACATTTGTTATCTTACTAGTTAGTTTTTTTTATTTATAATATGTGAGAAATGGCTACATTATTGTTCAAATGAAAATCTTGCTAGTCAGATTATGTAAAATATTACTACAAGGATCTAGAATGACGCAGTATAAATGTATATAAAGATATAATATATATTCAATCAGTACAAGAAAAACTGGACTAGAGTCAATTCGTTATACTTAAAAGAACTAAGAGGAAACTACAGAATAATAATGATTTTTTAAACTGAAATGTGTATCAGCAACAAAATGGGAATATACATATATATATATA